AAATATTTTGTAAAACCGTTCGTTCTAGACTTTCCTTATTTCCGTTTCGTATATGGTATTTTCTGTATATAAGCCGTTCGGCTTTGGAACCTTGATCCATTGTTGTATAGACTGCACTGTTTTACTGTTTTAATGTAATTAATTCTGATTATGGTAATTACTGTATTTTGGGATGTTACAGTAAGACTACTTAATGATAAGATAAAACATAAATTATGCTTAGATATATAATTTTTGTTTTGTATAGATCTTAATAGTTGACAAACAGTTATTTATCTTTTTGAAATTTAAGTTAAATTTTTCTCATGGAGAGTTTGTAAATACATTTTTATATACTTATATGTTAGTTTATGTTTTTTATCAAGTATGTAATGCTTTAAATAAGTAAGGTAAATCTTACTAAACTAGCGTGTTACATTTTTTTTTCATTTTGAGATACTTAGTTTAATAAGATAAATTTTTTTATAAATTTTGTATATGCTAAAATTTGTATGTTTTTAAATAACTTTTATTACTAAATTTGGTTTAATTATATATTTGGTCATCGTATTTGTTAGGTTGGTTCAATTTCATCGTCGTATCTTTTTTTGGTTCAATTAAGTCTCCATTTTTTTTAAAATTGATCAAATTTGGTCATTTTTGTTAGATTGTCGTGTATCTACATGCCAAGTGTTAATTTGTAGTATTTTCAATTACTTTCAATTTTTAATTTTTTTAATGAATAAAATGAACTATCATGTGTTAGGTCAGTGTCATGTCACATGACAGTGATAGGTCATTATCATGTCACATGACAGTGATAAGTCATTATCATGTCACATGACAGTGGTAGTATCACACATGATAGTGGTAGTGCCATGTAACAGTGACATTGCATCACGTAGTGTTACTACCACATGGTAGTATTTGTTTTCAGTTTAGTCCCATTTTTCTTTTAAAAAATTAACAATTTGGTCCTTTTTAATTTGAGACTAGACGAATAAGTATTCATAATTATAACTTATATATACATGTTTAAATATTTTCTTAAAATTTTGCACATCAAATCACTCCACTTAAATATTCAAATTAATTTTTTACATAAAAAATTTATATTTTAAAATTATAATTTTTTAAAAATATTAAAAATCTAAATGTAAAGTGATACTTGTAACTTTTAAATTTTTAATGTGAAAAATATACATTTTTTAAACATTACAAGTTTCCCTTTATATTTACATTTTTATTATTTGTTTTAAAAAATTAAGTTTAAATAGAGATTTTTTATGTAAAAATGTAAAAATTAAAATTAGTAATAAAAAATATTTAAAAGATGTTTACATAAAAAATTAAAAGTTTTAAAATATTTATTAATGAATTTATTTAAAAAAGTTATTATATAAAAGATTATAAAAAAATTATACTATTAAAATAAATACAAGAAAACAAATATGATCATATAAATATTTATAAAACTATAGAAAGTTAAAAAAATCCCATTAATCAAATTCTTAAAAACCAAATAAAAAATATGCTCATCTACAAGTTTAGGAAAACAAAATTAAAAGGAAAGAAAGAAATAAAAAAAGTAATTGATTTTAATATATGGGAGAAAATGAAAATTTATAATTTCATATAAGAAAAAATAAATAAAAAATATTTAAGAAATAAAAAATAGAAAAAATCATTAAAAATATAGAACTTTTTTAAAAGAGAATAATAATATAAAATCATATGTTTTATTGTCACAAGACCAAATCACAAACACAAATGTTTTCTAAATCCATAAGAAAGTGTGCTTGAAAAAAATACTTCGCTGCAAGTTCGCAATGTGCATTAATGATAATAAATGTTAGGGTTAAATATGTTTTTTGTCCCTTAAGTATCACACGATTTTGGGTTTAGTCACTGCTTGAAACTTTGATTGTTTTTAGTCCTCATAGTTTTGAAACTATTACTATTAGTCCTTAAAATTGAACGGCGTTAACTTTTGTTTGACATAGCAAACGGCAAGACCACGTCTTATGCCAGCTTGTCTCTTCACTCTTTGTCACGTTGCTTGTGCTTGAGAACTTCGTTCATCTTCTTCGGCACAACAACTGCTTCTAGTGTACCATCACCCCAATCACGCAACAGCCCAAGCCACAAATCAAGCAAGCATCTCCATTCTTCACCTGCAAAGAATCCAAACAGCGGAGCCCCTTCTTCAAACAAATGGAGCCCTAGGGAGGGGTTTGCCTCCCCTTACACGTGTGCACCCTAGCCTTCATCGGACCAACCGCTGTGTCGAACCTTCCGCTCAGTCCAAGGCGTCGCCGGCGACACCAATCGCCATCGGGGCCATTTCCAGCCGCGGCGTCGATTTCTCCCTCCTTGCCTTTTTTCGCGCGCGAGAGAAGCTCTCTCGTTCCTCCGCCAATCGTCGCCTGAGAGAGCCCAGCCTCCGCGAGCCACAAACCAGAATGGTCACCGCCAACGCCGTCCTCGACAACCGGTCAGAGTCGTGAGGACTGGTCTCCCCTTCCTCTGATTCGGCGCGGCCCAAAAGTAGGGGTTATCATCCCCATTTCGGCGAAGCAAACGACCGCCAACGTCCACTGTTCCGCGCCGTCAACACCTTCTCCATGGCATTCCAGAAAACGCGAGCATCCATGGCATTCCCAAGATCACCTGAAACTCAAACAAATCCAGAAAATGCGAGCAACCCCAATCGTAAATCGCACCGTGCCGAAAGACGCACACCTAGTTCGCTTCGACCAATCGAGAACCACGACCAAGTGAAATCCCAAATCGCGAGTGTTGCGACGAACCCTAAATCGCCTAAGCCTCTCCGCTGTCGCGCCTTCATCTTGCAAGCTCCCCTGCAGCGACGCCATCCTCCATCAACGCCACCTTCAACGCGCAAAATCCTTGCAAGCCACGACATCCTTTCTCGCATCATCACCGTCATCCATATGCGCCATCACCTGCATCAGACCTGCAAATCCAAAAACACAGTAGAAACTCCATTCGCCACCTGCAAGAGAGCAACCCTTCCTTTCTCGCGTTCTTGGCTCATGATGGCGTAAGATAGAAGAGCAAAATTGTGGCACAGGTGCAGGGGTAAGTTTCCCCAATCTGACAAACCCTAATTTGGTATGGAAGGGGGCTGACACGTGTTAGATTCTTATTGGCCAGATAAAAAAGAAAAGCAACGTAGCAAAGAGTGAAGAGACAAGCTGGCATAAAACGTGGTCTCGCCAGCAATCAAAGTTTCGAGTAGGGACTAAACCCAAAATCGAGTGATACTTAAGGGACGAAAAACATATTTAACCATAAATGTTATAATTAATACATAGCTAAATTATCTTGTAAAAAATATTAATATTAGATTTATGAACTTTTGTTAAACTTAAACCACGTATAGATGATTATTTTATTTAAAGTTTCACTAACCCATTCTACATTTTGACTTATACTGAAATGTTCTAACCAACGTAGAATCATTAAAGATGACCTAAATCATATGCTACATAATCCAAAATGGTATAAAAATATATAAAAGTTTAAAATAATTTTATATACATATTGTAATTTGAGATTATTTCATATACATATATAAAACACAGATTTAGAAAACTAAAAATCATTATTTAAAAATACGACTTTATTTTATTAATGGGACATGCTTATTTATAAGTCTTCGTGAGGAAAACTTTTCTTCGTTGGGAAAACTTTTCATATAAGAATTATTATAATTCGTATGAATCGGCCACCAAAATAAATTATCGACTGATATCACTGTTACGTTTATCAAAGAAAATGTTTACTAAAAAAACACAAACCTCAATAGATATAATTTTACAAGGAATTGATTATAAAATTGACACGAGCCTTTTTTCTAAAACCTTAAAATAATAATAGATTATAAAAGATCTTTCATCACTTTTATATAATTGTTCTATTTCCAACCATTTAAATACAACTTTTATATCAATACAGTACTTGTACTCGTACTTGATTTCCAACCATTTAAATACAACTTACCTATATTTCTATAATCTTTTGAAAATTTGTCCTCGTGTTAGTACATTGTATATTTTATAAATGGCTTAATTACCTACTTAGTCCCCATGTTCGGAGGTAATTTGCTGTTTAGTACCCGGTTTTAAAAATGTAGGCATTTGGTACCTATGTTTTGAAATTTGTATCAATTGAATCCTACCCACTTAACGCCGTTATAAATCTAACGTTTTTTCTGACTGTGTATGTGATTTGTGGACGAGCGGTTATGGACGAGCGTTCGCTTCGCTGGACGAGCGTCCTCTTCTGCCTGACTGGGCGTTCGCTTCGCTGGACGAGCGTCCTCTTCTGCCTGACTGGGCGTTCGCTTCGCTGGACGAGCGTCCTCTTCTGCCTGACTGGGCGTTCGCTTCGCTGGACGAGCGTCCTCTTCTGCCTGACTGGGCGTTCGCTTCGCTGGACGAGCGTCCTCTTCTGCCTGACTGGGCGTTCGCTTCGCTGGACGAGCGTCCTCTTCTGCCTGACTGGGCGTTCGCTTCGCTGGACGAGCGTCCTCTTCTGCCTCGCTGGACGAGCGTCCTCTTCGCTGGACGATCGTCCTGAACGCTCGTCCACAAACGCTCGTCCACAAATCACATACACAGTCACAAAAACGTTAGATTTATAACGGCGTTAAGTGGGTAGGATTCAATTGATACAAATTTCAAAACATAGGTACCAAATGCCTACATTTTTAAAACCGGGTACTAAACAGCAAATTACCTCCGAACATGGGGACTAAGTAGGTAATTAAGCCTTTTATAAATCAATGGTTTTTTTCTTTTTAATTTTAGCGATGTGAAAAGACAAAGTGATATTTTAGCTTATTAATAAAAAGACGTACGTGATACGAAATATATTAATATTTTAGTTTTACAAGTTGAAAAATTAATATATATTAATAATGTAAAAAATGAGTTGTAAAGCAATTATTTGTCTTGAAAGATGTAAAGTATATTTTGAATGAAGAATATAAACGACTGAGAGCTGCTCTAGCTGTCGCATGTCGGTGGAGAGAGATAACAACATGGCGGAAGAAGAAGAAGGGGAAGCAGGTGGACACCATGTGCTCCTCTTACCAGGACCAATGCAAGGCAACGTAAACTCCATGATGAAGCTGGCACAGCTTCTAGCTCTGCATCACTTCCACATCACCTTTCTCACCACCGATTTCATCCACCGCCGCCTCCACCGTTTCGCCGACATCCACTCTCTTTCACAAACCTACCCCAACCTCGAGGTCAAGTCCATCTCCGATGGCCTCCCAGATGATCATCCTCGTTCCGATAGCAACGCTTTAGCTGACCTCTATTCTTCAATGAACTTGCACGCAAAACCTCTCATCATAGACATTATTCTCTCCCAAACTGCTGCAAAACCCAAAATCACGTGCCTCATTGGTGACGGATTCTTTGGAGGCCTCACTGCTGACGTGGCGGATGAGGTTGGGATACCGGTCATTCATTTTCGCGCCATCAGTGCTTCATGCTTCTGGGCTTTGTTCTGTGCTCCAAATCTCTTTGAGTCCAATGAACTTCCAATCAGAGGTATAAAACTATAAATTGTAATGTATGCAGTACTTGTTTGTTTGTTCGAGAGCCCTGGTTTACAAAGCTAATAGGTATGAAACTTCTAGTAGTGTTTAACGTAGTTTTGAGAAAGTGATGAAACCTAAAAATAGAATGTAAGTTGGAGTTTAGATTGAATTAACCTAATGAGAGAAGTTTTATGTTTGTTTTCAATCATCATGCTTGATACGATGAGAACTGAATCGAAACTTATTGAAGGAGAGGAAGACATGGATCGCATCATAGCCACTCTCCCAGGCATGGAAAACATTCTCCGATGTCGAGATCTTCCAGGTTTCTTTCGAGGAACAGAAACCAACCAATTAGTAGACCCTTTAAAATCCACGGTCTTTGACTGCCATCAAACGCTTCGAGCCCGAGGAGTCATACTCAACACTTTCGAGGATCTAGATGGTCCTCTATTGACCCAAATGCGTCTTAAGTTTCTCCGAGTCTTCGCCGTCGGTCCTCTCCATGCGCACTTGAACTACAGAAGAGTATCTGACGCGAAAACGACGCCGTCCACGAGTTCTTTCTGGGAAGAGGATAGAAGTTGCTTGACTTGGCTTGACTCTCAGCCGTTGAAATCGGTGCTATATGTCAGCTTCGGTAGCATTACTACCGTAACAAGGGAGAGGCTGATGGAGTTTTGGTACGGTTTGGTGAACAGCAAGAAGAGGTTCTTGTGGGTGATTCGGCCTGATATGGTGGCCGGAGAAGACAACGATGAGCGGGTAGCGGCTGAGTTGGAGGAAGGGACTAAAGAGAGGGGGTTCATAGTGGGGTGGGCGCCACAAGAGGAGGTGCTGGCACACAAGGCCATAGGTGGGTTCTTGACGCACAGTGGGTGGAACTCAACCTTGGAGAGTTTGGTGGCTGGAGTGCCCATGATTTGCTGGCCATACTTTGCGGATCAGCAGATTAACAGCAGATTTGTGAGTGAGGTTTGGAAAGTTGGGTTGGACATGAAAGATTTGTGTGATAGAGACGTTGTAGAGAAGATGGTAAATGATCTGATGGTTCATAGGAGGGAGGAGTTTCTGAAATCAGCTCAAGCAATGGCTACGTTGGCTGACAAGAGTGTGAGTCCAGGTGGTTCTTCTTACTCCAGTCTCCATGATTTGGTTGAATTCATTAAATCAGCTAGCAGGAAAATTAATTGACACTACACAATTCAAGTTTCCTTCTTGTAACCATGGCTCACATCCAATTTTAATCCTATGAAACCAGTTGAGGTGTGTCAGTGAGGTGGCCCCTAATGGTATCTTATTATTTAAGTTCCTTTACTATTTTCACCTAATAAACGCAGCTTTTCTTTTGGGGGTTTTTGTCACATCTTGATGTATTTGGTTCTTCTGGTTTCATTATTTCATTTTTCGTGTATAACTCTATACACCGGAATATGTTGTTTTTTTTTTCAATGAAAATAGTGTAACTTTCCATCGATTTTATGAAAATGGTCAAATTTTAAAAAATTAGTAAATCGTGTTTGGGGGAAGACGACTTCTTCAATGGAAGTCGTGTTTTATGTACATGATATCTCACTTTAAAATGTTTAAAAAACAAGATGAATAAAAGTCATTAGATTTGATAACGACGATGATTGTAGTAATCTTGAAAATGAGGATGAAAATGAAGATGCTGCATTACCCAAAAAAAAAATTAGTATCATAAATTTAAAGTAATTGGAGTGACTTTGTTTAAATATTGTGTATACATTATATTTTTAGACATATTTGTTTTTGGCAATACCTGTTTACAGTGATAAAGCGGTGAAAGTTGTTTTGGAACATTTCATCCATTTCTGCATTATTTCGATGAGGTTATCTTAGCATCTGGTGGCTGAATTGTTGATGTTGCCATGGTGTATTGCTCTGTGCTGTTAAATACCCACTATAGTGCTATATATAGTGGATTATTGGTTTTGTGTAATATTATGCATTTGATAACACTAGTATATTGTTGAAACTTTGTATTCTTTTCGTGTGTCTAAATCAGATATCTCTTTGTTTGTTCAACCTGATCATAAAGATTTTTTCCCACCTTCTTTTCATGTAAAATTTGAATTTTTTCCAGTAATACATATTGTGGCTTTGAAATATTCAGTAATATATATATATA